ACACACACACACACACACACACACACACAAATTGAGATTCAATTCCGACCTGTCAAACTCGATGCAGTTCATATTGACATGAATTACAGCCATAATTTGTGCTAATGACAGCGATATCTTAAATTTGGAATAACTCAGTGAAAAATGATCGTATCGAACTCCGTAAAAAAGCATTTTAAAGATAAAAGTCCATATTTTCATGTGCATTTTGTCTCATTGAGCTGCGATACCTGATTCACGCCGTGGATCGTCGCAAACTCGCACCTTTGATTACACATTTTACATCTTCTCATTTTGTAATCCGCCATTTTGAAAAAAATTACCGCTTATAATTGCCGTTCAAATATTCTTAAAGTCGACACTTCAAGCTTTATTTTCCTTTTTTAAACATATTTTTATCTTTATTATTTACCAAGTTATGATCATTTAAAATTTGGTAAATTTTTCCTAATTTTTCAGTGTACCGCTTTTTTTGCATGCGAGTGTATATTTTTTTTTATTGTATTGCGAGGTCACGTGGGTACGGCTGCTTAAAGCGATCGCTATTTTCAGCTGGCGGACACGTTTCCGGGAGTTTCAAGCATCTGAAACAAAAAAATAAAATTGATTATTGAAAAGTAAACTCGTCGCTATAGCCCGTACCTCAATTAACCATATTCGATAAAAAAAAACAAAATGGCGGACTTTTGAAATTTTTTACTTGTTTTTTAAGCGTAAAGGTGCTTTTTCATGCGCAGCACGCTGCAGCAGCAATTCGTTACTATTGGTTAAGAATTTTATGTAAGCTAGATGACGCACTTCCGGCGCAAAATACATTTTGCCGCAGTTCGTTGAAGTTGAACCGAACGAACAGCAAGCAGCAAGCGGCAAAATCGAGGCAATATTATTTATTGCAATAAATATTAGGAAAATTAACGAAGAATGGCTTCGGATAAGGTACGAATGTTTGTAAATTAGATCATTTTATACTTTACACTTTACTTTTTCAAATTTGTGGTAAAGTATAAAATGATCTAATTTACAAACATGTATCCGTACCTTATCCGAAGCCATTTTTCGTTTATTTTCCTAATATTTATTGCAATAAATAATATTTTTATAATAAAACGACGGACATATTGTACGCTTTCTCGATTTTGCCGCTTGCTGCTTGCTGTTCGTTCGGTTCAACTTCAACGAACTGCGGCAAAATGTATTTGCGCCGGAAGTACGTCATCTAGCTTACATAAAATTCTTAACCAATAGTAATGAATTGCTGCTGCAGCGTGCTGCGCATGAAAAAGTACCTTTAATTGTTTAAAAAAACGTATTAAATATTAATGAAAAACCGTAATTCTGGTAGGGGCTATAGCGACGAGTTTACTTTTCAATAATCAATTTTATTTTTTGTTTCAGATGCTTGAAACTCCCGGAAACGTGTCCGCCAGCTGAAAATAGCGGTCGCTTTAAGCAGCCGTACCCACATGACCTCGCATTACAATAAAAAAAAAATATATTTTTACGCACATTAAGATACACTCTTTTATATGTAAATTAGTTTAAAACGATTAAATAAATTTTTCTATAAAAAAAAATTCTTGAAAAAAGACGCCGAGATCCTAGACTAACCCCTTAAGCCCATGGCACACAGAAAAACATAAGGCCGTAAACGTAATCAGTAAGCGAATTGACCAATCACAGTTAAGAACGTACGCGGCTGCTGTTTACGTTCTCAACTGTGATTGGTCAATTTGCTTACTGATTACATTTACAGCCTTATGGTACGTTTCCACCGAGCGCGTCATGCGTCGCGTCGTGAAAGAGAGAAAGTGTTCGGAAGGGTTTCCGTTTTCAAGAGGAAAGAAACGGGAATACGAACAGCACTAATAATCGACGCGATAAGTTTTAACGAAAGTCACCTTTTATTTATTAACAAATTGAAATTAACAATTACTACAAGTTACAATAAAGACGCGAATTTAATCGACTTTAACTTTTCTAGACGACACTTACGGAATAACGCATTGGCTACTTCCCGCACTTCGAGAAACGCAACGACGCTGAGTTGACTCCAACTTTTTCAAGACTACGTACCGCATTCGAAAAAGACGGGGGTTAGTATAGTAAGAAAGCGGTCTGGAAACTTCGATCGGTTTATGGGCGGAAAAATAATAAGAATCTTGTCTCTCAAAAGGAATTTCCAGATCGCTTTTATTTTGTTATTCCTTTTTGAGGTGACCGCCGAGTTGACGCCCCTAGATTGGTCCAGCACATCAGCGCTTGATGCGCTGGTTGGTTATGCTAGCGCTTGCGACTTCTAGTCGCAGACTTCACTCATTGGTGCGTGAGAGGCTGCGCCGCGCTAGATTTGACTCGTAAAACTACAGTTTGAATTACAAGCTGAATTCCGAACATTCCGTCCGCCTCGTTGGTGCACCAACGATATGAGCGCTATCAAGAATTGCTAACAATTTTTTTACATCGCTTACATCAATCTTTCAGTAAGGACTAACTCTTGAATAATCAGAAGAATTCTCGTTGGAGATTTAACACGGACTCACAATTACGGCGCGCATCGCGATTAATCGAGGTGACGCAACAACGAGATAACGCGACGATCCACGCAGTAAATTACTATATGATAGTGAAGTGATAGTGAATTCGAACGCATTGTACACACGGCGACGTGACAACAGTGAGTGAATTAAGTGATGAATGGAAGGAAAAATGCGTGAATTGATCAAAGATCAATAATAGTGCGCTTTCGCAGACAAGAGGTGAGCTCTACTTGTGCGTCTAGAGGTAGGTGAACATGAAACAATTTTTTTTTTTCAGTGAAGATCGAAAAGTCGACAGGTAAGAGGTTAGAATACATAATCTTACCGAAAGATGTACAATGGACTAATACAATAAACTTTCTTATATACTTATGATAAATCACCCGACGACATCATGGTTCCGCACTTGCTTCCGCATTGTCGCTTTCGCGGATATCGCTGACGGGGAGGAGCACGAGCTTCGCCACTGGACACACTAATTCAGAGGTTGCGGTGCGCACAGTTACTACCCTGATGTTCCCGTCGTCTCCTGGGTGGATCCTAACGATCCGAGCTAGCGGCCATCTCGTCGGCGGTGCAGCCTCGTTACGCAGCAAGCACAAGCGTCCTACTTGGAATGAAGCGTTGCTGTTCCACCACTTAGGTCTGTGATTGAGAGCATGTAAGTACTCCTTGGACCATCTGTCCCATAGCTGATCCCGCATTCTCTGTATCAACTGCCTTCTCCCCAGATGATTCATAGGAACCTCCAAGAGAGACAGCTCCGGCACGGCGTTGATAGCTGACCCGATAAGAAAATGGCCTAGCGTCAACGCAGCGAGATCCTCCGGGTCGTCCGTTAACGCCTGGAGTGGCCTTGAGTTAAGGCATGCCTCAATCTACGCAAGAAGGGTAGCCATCTCCTCGTAAGTCAGCGTAGATTCTCCCAACACTCTCCGCAAGTGATGCTTCATTGATTTTACGGCGGCCTCCCATAAGCCTCCGAAGTGAGGCGCAGTGAGAGGATTGAAGCGCCACTGTATCTTGAGGGACTCGAGGCCATCGGCGATTTTTCGTCCTCCTGAGCTGCTGGCGGCAAACATAGCTCTAAGCTGTCTGTCAGCTCCTACAAAATTAGTGCCGCAGTCGCTGTAGATGGTGTGACACAAGCCGCGTCTCGACACAAAGCGTCGTAAGGCAGCCAAGAAAGCTTCGGAACTGTAATCTGAAACAATTTCAAGGTGCACAGCCCGAGAGCTCATGCAAACGAACACAGCCACTAAGGCATTGTACGCCTTTTGTCCTTGTCCCTTGGTCGTCCGCAGTATCATAGGACCAGCGTAATCGACGCCCGTGTTCAAGAAAGGGCGTGCTGAAGTCACTCTCTGTCTCGGTAGATCCCCCATGAGTTGAAGAGAGGGCGCCACCCGCCATCGCAAGCAAGATACGCAACGGTGAATGAGATTCTTGACTAGAGCCCTGCCGCGAGGAATCCAATAATGCTGTCGTATCAATCCCAGCGTGGCCTGACCTCCACCATGAAGAGTACCTCGATGACAAGCCTCGATGACGAGTTTGGCGAAATGAGACTCGCCCGGTAGGATCATTGGATGTTTCTCGTCATAGGCCAGCAGTGCGTACTTGATACGTCCACCTACCCGAAGCACTTCCAGCACATCCACAAAGGGGCTTAATTTGGTGAGTATGCACCCTCTAGATAGCGGTTGATTTTCTTTAATGTTGTCGATTTCTTTCCTCCACCAGGTAACCTGCGTTACACGGATTAGGGCGAGCCATCTCCTTCACCGATAGCAACCGGTCCTCCCTAAGAGTTTCGTTCGGAGGCAGGCGGATGACTCGCAACCAGCGACGGCACCAGGCCACCACTCGCACTAGCCGGTTCAAGGTTGAGAAACGAGTTAGCAGCGGCGCCTCGTCAGGCAGCTTCAGAACATTGCACGCGAGTATCTGGCAAGTCTCGCTCGACGGGTTGAACTGAGGAAGGCCATGACTCGTGGTCTGAAGAAAGCCATGGAGGGCCCCGTCACCACAGCGGATGATGAACCAGGTCGCTCGGGAGTATTCCCGGAGAGGCGCAATCAGCAGGATTTTCACGACCTGTCAAGTGACGCCAATGGGCGTCAGGCACCATTCTCTGAATCTCGGCAACACGATTAGCGACGTACGTCTTCCAGCGTGACGGATGTCCATGAATCCAGCCCAGTGTCACTGTGGAATCTGTCCAAAGATAGGCAGGAACATTGTGCAGCCCAAGCACCGACTGTACAGTTCGCGCAATTAATGCCTTCCAACCCTATGACGTCACATTCACTGTTGAAGCATCACGTTTACTTTCTCGGTCGTTTTCATGTTCGTGGCTATAGTAGACAAATCTTAACCAGTCGGCGAAATTGCGCGAATTTCTCCAACCTCTATAGCTTGTGTTCATGACACCTCGAATGTGTGTGATTAAAGTTTTGTTGACGCTGTTGACAGTCCTAAATTTCGTTTGAAATATATTTACATAACCAAATTTTCAATTATTTACGGCACATAATTTATCAGATAAGTGGCTATTCTTCCATTTTATATTTATTTAAAACTCTATAGAAAATTAAGGAAAAAAATCTTTGTGCATTTTTAATGTAAACAAATTTTTAATTATTTACGGCTCATAATTTTATCACATCAGTTTGTATGCTTTCCTTTTAGAGGACACACTCGACACAAACATGATCGTTCTACCTTTATCATTCGTTGAATGTTAAGAAGGACGACAAATAATTTTCTAGATATTTTAATAAAAGATATATATCAAGATTACGCCAAATAAAGTATTATTTGTTTTTTTTTTAGTACACATTTCCTTTTACGGACATTGACAAATAATTTTCTAGATATTTTAGTAAAAGATATATACAGACAGATTGGTTCAGGCCTTTCCTTTCAATAAATCTGAAATTATAATTGAGTATAAAGAATCTGTTCTTTTATATTTATCTAAAAAATAGAGAGAACAAATTAATAGAGATTCTAAAAATATCTGATATAATATTGATTCCAATCGTATCAGATACGCCCTACTACTCATCATTTTCACTCTCCTTCATATATAATATATACAATATATTTTTAAATTATTCTTTAAATCATTTTTTATATATATTTTTGATACATTTGTACTTTAACATAATATATTATCACGAAAGTAATTGATATTAAAATATCTATATAAATATGCAAATTATACTAACTTCGATACATTGCGTCCTCCCTTCTTTTATTTCACTATCTTGTCATATAACATGGATTTTTCCCATAAAATATATCGTTTAATTAACTAGCCTTTAAAAATTCTATCTCTAAAGATCTAAGGTATCATCCTTATACACTTATTTAATTCTAATGACATGTATCTTTTGTATGTATATACCATATAAACTTACCTTTTTAGAAAAAAGCGCTAAGAGTGGGGGCTGCTGGACAAAAAACCATTTGGGCCAGTTTCATCAACGTCAATTACTTAATCGACTGTGAAACTGACCAATCACATTTGCTGTTTAGTAGAACCATCTTTAAAAACCTACGTGATATTATCCTTATTTACTTAATTCTAATGACATGTATCATTTGTATAAAAGATTTGATATCAATAGTCGGCGCCAAGTTAAATTCTAATCTTTAAAAACGTACGTGATATTATCCTTATTATTTACTTAAATCAATGACATGTATCATTTGTACAAAAGATTTGATATCAATAGTCGGCGCCAAGTTATTCTACCTTATTACTTACTTAATTTTAATGACATTTATCATTTGTATACAAGATTTGATATCAACAGTCGGCGCCAAGTTAAATTTTACCAAAATTAAAGAGTAAAACACAAGTGGTACCTTTAATCTTTAAGAACCCATATAGTACTATTATTTAAATTCCACTAAATTAAAAAGTAATTTTACCACTAAATAAAAAATAAAGATAATTCCACTTAGGTTTTACTTTTTAATTTAGTGGAATTTAAATAATAGTATTATA